CTGTGTGAACATAATAGAATAGAGCCCATAAATTTGATCAGAAATTTCCACCTCATTGACCATGTCCCAGCTAACTGTCAGCAAGATTATCATAAAATGGAAATACCATTGAAGCATCAAACCATTCCCCTAGTCTGAAGAAACTGACAGATCTAGATCAGCAATCTATTATGTGCATTATCAAACAAACTCATACATCCTTAATGATTGTCACAAATGACTTCTAAATGAGCTTAAGAATGGATACCATTGATAGAACTATTTGCAAGGAGTTATGATCATATTGCAGCAAATAAGCCATTGATTATATCTGCCAATGCCTACCATTGTTTGGAATGGTGCAAGAACATTATCATTGAACTATGGTGCAATGGAAGAGTATTCGAGTGATAATTTATGGCACACAATGTGGATATCTGATGGATATATTGGACCTGACAAATGTTACTTATAGGAATGTTGTGTCAACTGTGAAATTTGGATAAGCATAATAATATGGTGCTATTTTTCCTTGTATAGAATTGTTTCTGTGACCAGATCTTTAAACAATGATGTCTACCAAGACAATTTAGACATCTATCATCTGTGACAACAGTTTGGAATATGCTCTTTCTTACATCAACATGATAATGTATGTATTTGTTTCCAAAGCAGGTTCATAGCTTTGTGTTTTCAGGTATACAAATGGAAGAATTTGACTGGCTGGCTCAAAGTCCTGATCTGAACTCAACTGAATATCTTTGGGATGAGCCAGAGCAATGATTGCATGTCTTGATTTGAAATCTACTCAAACTACTAATACATATCAGCTGTTTGCCATACTAAAGGAAGATTGAAAATGAATGCCAGCAGTATTTACTAGAACTTTCCTTTGCTGCTATTACGACTATTAAATTTGTTTACTGGCCATAATAGCAGTAAAAGAACAATGGACCTCATGCCATACAAGAAATATCACAAAGCAATGTCTGGACATTTTGGCAATAGTGTAATTTTAATATAGATGATTAAAGATATATACAGTAGAACCTCCATTATCCGGACCTTCATTATCTGGATTTTCGATTATCCGGATTGTCCAAAATAAACAAAAATTTTACGAATTTGCTGATTTGCACTTGGCGAATTACGACACTGTTTATGTACATAATGGAATGCATAACTTTTTTTGTTTCAACAACGTCTCACCCAGCACAGTGGTCGTAAACTCTTAAATATATTTTACGTCGTAATAAAAATATAACTTGACATACGTATTTATAAATAATTTATATTCAAATTACATCATTTCTATGACCAAGAGCGATGTAAGGCATGGACGACGTGGCCACTGCCTATGCCTCACAGTCCGAAGGGCCTCGCGTTTCGAAGGTTTATGCATTACTTAAAAGCCGCGAACGTGACGAAAAAATTTTACTCGTCATAAAACGATAAATAGTTTGTCAAACTTTTATTCATAAAAATGCAGTTTCGACTGCTTTTTATTTTATAAAATCCGTCTTCTTGCGCCACCAGAGGGCCTTTTAAACAATAGGTAGTCTGTTAGCGTTGGTCAGTAGTAGTCCAAATTCAATACGAACGTTTGTTTCTTGAAAATTTGATCACGATTTAAATACAGTATTTACTTTTAATATTATCGATATGTCATCGAAAAGAAAACGTGTTGTATTATCATTAAAAGACAAATTAAAGTATTTTTTTGATTATCCGGATTTTTCCTTATCCGGACTACCTTCATCCCCAATTAGTCCGGATAATAGAGGTTCTACTGTATATTTTTTCAATTTAAAATGAAACCTTGACATAATAATCACTTTCACTCAACTTTTAAGTCAAATATCTTTAAATTAATAAATTTAGTATTAATGAAGTTAAATTCATTATGATCATTTGGATTTTAATGACTTATTACAAAAATTAATTCTTTGTTGAATACATACAATTAAAGCAATCTAATAATTTTATCAGTCTTGAGATGTTTACATGCTGATTTATTTAACCATAGTACCTTTATCTAGTTGCTGGACTAGACAAAGGTACTATGGTTATATATTTGTTTTATCATCCAGTTTTGTGAAGTATTTACTTTTACATGCTGACATGCTGCATAACAATTTTACTAATTATCATTTCATCACAATCTAAAAAAGAAAACAACAAAATTTGCTGTAGTCTATGTTTAAACGTACAAATTACTTAATTATATTTAACTGTATATTTTAAAATATAAAAATCATAATAAAATTGTTTAAGTAAAATATACAGAATTTTAATTCTGAAAACTGTTATAAAATATTATGATTTTCCATAATTAATATGTTCTTTTTATACTTAGCATGCATATCCAAATAAATATTTAATCTTAAATAATTAAAAANTCCATTATCCGGATTTTCGATTATCCGGATTGTCCAAAATAAACAAAAATTTTACGAATTTGCTGATTTGCACTTGGCGAATTACGACACTGTTTATGTACATAATGGAATGCATAACTTTTTTTGTTTCAACAACGTCTCACCCAGCACAGTGGTCGTAAACTCTTAAATATATTTTACGTCGTAATAAAAATATAACTTGACATACGTATTTATAAATAATTTATATTCAAATTACATCATTTCTATGACCAAGAGCGACGTAAGGCATGGACGACGTGGCCACTGCCTATGCCTCACAGTCCGAAGGGCCTCGCGTTTCGAAGGTTTATGCATTACTTAAAAGCCGCGAACGTGACGAAAAAATTTTACTCGTCATAAAACGATAAATAGTTTGTCAAACTTTTATTCATAAAAATGCAGTTTCGACTGCTTTTTATTTTATAAAATCCGTCTTCTTGCACCACCAGAGGGCCTTTTAAACAATAGGTAGTCTGTTAGCGTTGGTCGGTAGTAGTCCAAATTCAATACGAATGTTTGTTTCTTGAAAATCTGATCACAATTTAAATACAGTATTTACTTTTAATATTATCGATATGTCATCGAAAAGAAAACGTGTTGTATTATCATTAAAAGACAAATTAAAGTATTTTTTTGATTATCCGGATTTTTCCTTATCCGGACTACCTTCATCCCCAATTAGTCCGGATAATAGAGGTTCTACTGTATATTTTTTCAATTTAAAATGAAACCTTGACATAATAATCACTTTCACTCAACTTTTAAGTCAAATATCTTTAAATTAATAAATTTAGTATTAATGAAGTTAAATTCATTATGATCATTTGGATTTTAATGACTTATTACAAAAATTAATTCTTTGTTGAATACATACAATTAAAGCAATCTAATAATTTTATCAGTCTTGAGATGTTTACATGCTGATTTATTTAACCATAGTACCTTTATCTAGTTGCTGGACTAGACAAAGGTACTATGGTTATATATTTGTTTTATCATCCAGTTTTGTGAAGTATTTACTTTTACATGCTGACATGCTGCATAACAATTTTACTAATTATCATTTCATCACAATCTAAAAAAGAAAACAACAAAATTTGCTGTAGTCTATGTTTAAACGTACAAATTACTTAATTATATTTAACTGTATATTTTAAAATATAAAAATCATAATAAAATTGTTTAAGTAAAATATACAGAATTTTAATTCTGAAAACTGTTATAAAATATTATGATTTTCCATAATTAATATGTTCTTTTTATACTTAGCATGCATATCCAAATAAATATTTAATCTTAAATAATTAAAAAAATAAAGCTAATATAAAATTTCTGAAAGTTTTTAAAATAGAATAAAAATTATTTAATAAATATATAGGCTAATTACACAAAAATTTGAATTATATCTACTACTATCTCTTTTTTTTTTAAATAAATTAATTTTTTATTAAAGCTAAAGCTACATTTACAGATGACATACCTGAAAGATTTTATCAAAATTAACTTTCATAGTGAGCAATTCATAATATTTACAGATATTAATTTTTATACCTCCCGACAAAGATAAGAGATCACACTTTTCATTAATATGGTTTTTCTGTATATATATTTCTATTTTGAAGACTTATTCAAACAATTATTATATATAATAAAATATATATTTGAATTTTAGTTCTTAATCTACATTAGGCTGTTAAAGTGATATTCCTAAATTCAACATGCAGTGTTTATAATCCTAAGTTTAAATATTAAACTTATCAAAAAAGTTTGTCATTAATACAGGTTTTGTTTTCCGACGTTTACATAATGCTATATAGTCATTAGAAAAATTTATCTTGTAATGAGTTTTTATATGGCAAGAAATGATTCTAAAGGAAATCAATTTTAGTATTAAATTTATTTTTCTTTTGCATTTACTTACCTATTCGACTTCATATTAATAACACGCCTACGTTTCATTCATTCTTAATAGTACATTGTTACGAATAATGAGAATAGTAACCAATTAAAGGACGTCCTTTAATAACGACCACATATTTAAAAACTTTAATAAATAAAATTTACTAAAGCCAGAGTTATAAGCACCTTAATGATACCATGATAGATAGCATTTCATAAGATGCAATTAAAGTCAATGTAGACACATTATGAAGTTATTGAGAATAATAATATGTCCAGCTTTGTTCTATTAATAAGGTTCAAGGTTAACAACATTCAATGATCTATCTCATTAAAAAGACAACAATTCATCCTTTATTAAAATACAAAGGAAGGAAAACAAGGATAAATTTTCCTAATAGACTATGATCATTTTATTACTATTATATATTTGTTAAACTTCACAGTAAATTCCAAGCATAATCATTATCAAGATATGTTTATTTTATGAGCATTATCAACTAGTTAATAGGTTATCATTCATGTTTTAAAGAGAGTGCAAACAGTTGAGATAAACCAATTGCAGGAAGAAAAATAACGTTGCTCTTCAGACAAACATCAACAGTTAGAACATTGAACATTACAAACAATTGCAATTAATAAATAATTGAAAGAATCGTTAAATCAAAAGATATTTAAAAAGAAATGACGTTTAAAACTTACCTATCCTCGGTTTTGTTTCAAAATTCCTTAACAACAACTCCAACTTGTCTGACCAACTCATCCCCGGTTTTCAATTGAAGAAAAAAAAACCCAACACAACTTTAGTACTAAAAAAGATCGTTAGGAGATAATGTAGCGCCAAATTCGTATGATAATAATTTACTATTTTATATTAAATCAAAATTATTATTTTATTTATCGATACAGATAATAGAATTCGAGAAAAATATTAATCGTACTTAAAACTCCCGTTATTTTATTCATACGCTATTTTCTAAAAAAAAAAAAAAAAAAAAAAACGCTAACAAGCGCCATTTTATTTTCGCAAAATTACCGCATTCGATTCTATTATTAATAATTGACGGAATTATTTTATATTAAAAAGAATTTAAAGTATATTATTAATTCGAATTACGCATAAATAAATATTTAAAATCTACATCTAATAATTAATTAACTTTGTTGAAATTACATTAATGGAATTCGGGTGTTAGAAATGATTTATCGGCGTTTATATGAAATAAAAATAAATTACCGTTCGAGCGAAATATTCCTATGAAAATGTTCTTCAAACTTCAATGATTATTCTTTTATTGATTTCTATTGCGTATTTACAATTATATAACATTTTCCATTTCGATTTTAATGTTATATAATTGACAATCTGAAATCTTTTTATATTCAAACAGAATTTAAACATAAAAAATATAATAGTAAAATCATAAATTTAAGTTTTACGAGCGGTATTTATCATTTTTATTTTAAATTTAAGACATTTTCCCATTATCTTTTGCTTTTAAATAATATTGAATTAAAAACAATGTCATAATACCGGGCTACAATTTTTACTTTAAAAATATATGCTCTCCACTTCAAATTAGTAGTGTCTTGCTCCTTTGCATCATACTTTTCCTTTAATAATAATGTCGTGCTAATCATCTAACATCTTTCAGGGAAAAATTTTAAAATTGAAATAACGTGATCTTCCATTTGTATCGGAAGTTCGTATATAATTAATCGGGGCTTTTTGCCCCTAAAGTTTCCATATATGGTCTCGATTTTCATCTATCTAACGCCGTTTTAGGGATTAAGGAAAGACGGACGGACGATAGTGGGAATTTATTGATCCACAATTTTTTCAAATTGCAGCCCAATTAATAAAAATGCTATAGTTAATATCTAATCTTGTTTTTCTCAGAATAATAATGCAGTTGATATTCATTTGCAGGGGAAAAACTGGAGCAGTCAGGCAGGAGAAAATTTAAAAGCCCGTAGTGATTATTACTCTTATAAAATTAAATTATTTTGTACAATATTGTTTCATAAAGAGACTTTTTCAAGGGAGTAATATTTCCTTTCAGTTGTGTTCTCCATAAACGAGTGGATTGCAAATGCATTTAATACGTAATCCCGTTGCACATTTTCTCTCGTATAAATTAGAATAAACATATACGAGCGTTACTCGTAAGAAAGAATATATACGAAGCTCTGACGGCAGGATAGCCGAGCGGTCAAGGTGGCAGCCTATCGCTCTGGGGAACCCGGGATCGAATCCTGACGGATCAAGGAATCCCCAGGAAATCTTCGGGGGTGATCCGTTCGGATATGTCGGGCCCCGTTCCTCACCACCCGGTCGCCCCATTGTGGGCATGGCTGATTCCATAATGGGCCTGCTATAAGAGGCCCTCTTAGTGGCCACAGGGCAAAAAGAGTATAAAAGAAAAGCCTCTCTTATCTCGTAAGCAACGATTCTACACATGCGTAATGGTTTCGTGTTCATTACAAAGTAAAACATAGTACAATAATATAGAATATATGTTAGAAAATTATGTTTAAACTGTTATAATCTATTTGAAATTTCTAATATTTTTTTTCAAGAGATTTAAGATTATTAAAAAAAAAAACCCTATCAAAATGACGGAGCAGCTCTAAGAAGAAACCGGAGGCTGTGGGTAACTTCGCAAAGTTTACGAATAATAAATGTCTCTTCCCGATTATGAAGCAAATAGCGAGACACAAAAACGCCAGTATAATATGTAAAAGGGCCCCCACAGTGTATAGGTTGATTAGAAATGACAAAGAAAGAATTGATGATAATGAACAGGCAGGAGTATATGCAATTCCGTACAAAAATGACCAGTTGGGAATCGATAAGGACTACGTTGGGGTCACTAATAGAAACCTTAGGGTGAGGATTAAGGAGCACCGATATGATGTCGCAAAAAACAAGTGTACAACAGCATTATCCAAAATAGCGCAAGCAGATGGTTCGGTTGTTAAATGGGAGGATGCTAAAATTCTTACAAAAGTACGCTCGCCAACGTTGTCATCCATAACTGAGAAATGCGAAATTTACAGAGCGAGTTTGGCTGACAGATGTTTAAATTATAAAGATGCGACGGTATTACCGTCATCCTGGAAATACATAATAAGAAGTAACACGCGTATATAATGCGTGTGGCGGCCGCATAATTGTAACTAGCGCTACACCTGAAAATCCAGGTGGCGCTGGCGCGACGCATATATAACCATGTGCAGGCCGTCCGCCATACTACTTCCCGACTTGTCAGCTACTCTTGGGTTGCTCACATGTACACGTGGATTCCAATCAACCGACCGTTAGGTAGACGAGACTTTTTTGTATATAGTGTGAATAAAGTAAATAGGAGATATATGACTACGATCTCTATTCATATATTCAGCGAACACAATCAAGTGGTGTGACGACCACCACAATGCGTCTGCCGTGACTCAATAGATATCTGGGTTGATGTATAAGGAATTGTTCCTTAGTGTTTGCGGCCAATCACAGTATTTTTTTGTGTTATTTTGGTTTTTTATTATTTATTGTTTTAGTTTGGTTATGCTTATTCTATTGGTTTAATTTAAACGTATGTTCTAATTTGGTTTAATTTTGAACGTGTTCGATTTTGTATTAGAGTCGAACAACGGTAACCTGAAGATGGCCCATAAATTGGGTTGAAAACGTTAGTTTTGTGTAATAAATATATGTTTCTCAGCAATAAGGTGTGTTGGATGTATCTGGTATATTACTTACGTATTTGTTATTTGCACAAGAAGTCAGAACAAATCCGTTACCTGCTGTTACATGGAAATGTTAGTTTCTTAACTGTAAAGCTCTGAAACAGCACTGAAAACTTCAAAAATTAATGCTGTCGGGTGTTCTTGGTTTGTAGAAAATTCTATTTCCAGAATTATCATAAAATTTTCTCACTTAAGCCACAAAACCACGTCAAGGTGACACCCACTTTGTGGTGGTTTTTTTTTGTTTCCAGAAACCAACCCTACTTGCTAGACAGCGTAGCAAGTAGAGAGAAAAACTGGATCGCGCGCGAAGTTCTTATAGGTAAAACGACCAATAATGACTTTTGTCATTCTCTTTCCTCGTCCTCTACCCATTCCAATCCAAAAAATATTCCGATATGTATTGTAAGAGCTTTATTTAGCGATTATTTATCGTTTGGGATTTCGCAAGGATATAGACTTTCAATTGCTACAACGATTGAGTTCCCGGGTCCCACGTACGGTGCAATCGTGCTCCTGGGCACTCAACCGTTGTACTAATAGAAAGTCCATAGCCTTGCGAAAATCCAAACGATTAGACTCGGAAATAATTGCCAAGTAAATCTTTTACAATACGGAAACAATATTTTTCATTGTCTTCCGATAAATATTGTTTCTTTAACAATGTAGATCGAAACAATGAATATGCTTATTTATTAAATTTTTTATGTGAAATATTTATGAATTAATAATTTAATTTTTTATTTAGAAATTACTGTCATATTATACAGTATTTAAATATTCTGTTAGTTTTTTTTTATTTTTGTACAATAGCAAATAGTTGTTAGTTGTAATAGTAGAATTGCCAGACAGAGAACTATTAATGTCCGGACGTTGGCACGAACATTCAAATCAGATATTTTTTATTTATTTATTTAAGTATTCAATTGAAAAACTGACTTTTTTACATCGTAATTTACACATTGCTACTATTCTGTTTCTTTTATTTCAATATATATCCGGTCTAAACACCTCAATTTTCTAGGAATTATCAGATCTACAGACGCTGTAATTACTAGCCAATCAAGAACTTTTTATTTTATAAATGACTCATTTCTTGAATTATTATTTGAATGTTAATACTGTTCTAAACAGCTTTTCAGCTATATACTTTGCTTCAATTTGTTCTAGACAAATTTTTTTATATTTGGCAAAAGCTTGCTTTTTCATTATTAAATTATTACAAAAGAAAAAAAAATCATGTATGTATGTAATTCTAGTAAAAAGCTGTTTAATTAGAATAGTTAATCATTCTCATTACTGTTTTTTTTTTTTTAAATAAAATATACAGTAGAGCCTCGATTAACCGACACCTCGGTTAACTGACCGTCCTAGTCGGCAAATTTCAAATGTCCGCTAGTGATGTGGCGCTACAATATTTGGCTATGTCTTGGCTACTTTAATATTATTTTTACGTGTTTTAGCTGGCAACACTCATTCGACCATGAAAAGGAGCCAGTATTTAAACGAGGCTTAATTTTCTAATTTTTAACGATACAATAGCGACGATTACTATTTAAAAAAATTTTTGTTAGGCTTAACATGGATGAAAATTCAACGCGAAGTAGATTAATAGCGATATACTAATATACTAATTATATGGGATATAATAATATACTACACTAATAATGGATTTTTTCATACTTTTCGGTTATCCGACTTTTCAATTATCCGACCAACCCCTGTCCCCAATTGAGTCGGATAATCGAGGCTCTACTGTACTTCATTTAGCACTAGAAACCATTAAACCTTTCATTTTCCAGCAAAACATGTAGCAGTAAACATAACTTTTGGAATCTGCTTGATTCCAGTTTTGGGTTTACAGAGTTTGTTTCGAATTGTAAACCCAAAGCTGGAATCAGGTGGATTCCGAAAACGTTTCTGAACTGCTACATATTTTATATGCTTTACTGGAAGCTGAAATAGTTTAGTGGTCTGAAGATTATTTTTAATCCAGATTGTGTAAGACAAATATGTCTTGCTACTGGTTTTAAATTTAATATTAAACAATGCCCACATTTGATTATCTTAGAAAGGAAAATATACAACCCTGAAAAATTAACAAATTT